GGGAAAATAAAGCTTGTTGACAAGAATTGGAGAAAGGCTGAGGTGCCTTTATTAATACCAGGAAACACAGATTTTACCACACCAGATTTATGGAGGATATGAAAAGCAATTATATATTGTAAAGGGGATTGTTTTCATTTTAATGATATGCTCTACCAATTCTTAACATTTGTATGTCGAACAAAACAACTGTATATAGAAAGAAATCATCAATAGAACTGAATGAAAAAATAGAAAAAAAATAACCCACTTTTATGCAAAACCATCAATACCCTTGTCTTCAATAACCAAGGAAAACAAATGGACAGAAAATCAGTGAGTATATAGATTACAGCAACACTATCAACAAAGTTGACCTCGTTGACATTGACTGAACCTCAGTCCAACAATAGCTGAGTGTCGCATCACGTTTTTGAAGTCTATGGGAAACATCCACCAAAATAAACTCAATTCTGGATCATAAAACAAACTTCAGTAGACTGTAAATTATTTGAATCAAATAAAGTGCAATAACTGATCAGATAAATTAGAAATGAGCAAGATATCCAGAAACACCCCTAAGTATTTAGAAACTGACCCACTTCTTTTATTTATTTATTTATTTTATATAACCAAGTCCATTTAAATGAAAACAAACATTTATAGACAATATTTGGGAATTTGGGCGTTGTTCTTTCCAAACTACTTCCTGCTGGTAAGGGGCACTGTCATGGGGGATTCGAAGAAGATTCAGAAATCCTGGCTGTAGTCTGCAAGGCTCCTTTGTCCAGCTGTTTTGAATGTAGGATCACCTGGTACTTTGTTTCAGGTGGTCTGGCTTGATCAAACCATATTAGTATGGAAGGAATCCATATCTTTTCATTTTCTGTGGAAACAAAAATAGAAATCCTTTTCCCCAGTAACTTGTCCTTCAACTTAAATTTTGGAGTCAAAGCATTTTTTTTAATTTAATTTATTATTTTACATGTCAATCCCAGTTCCCTCTCCCTCTCTCCCTCCCTTCCTCCCTCCCTCCTTCCCTCCCTTTTACCCTCTCTGCCCTCTCACATGCACTCTAACCACCCTCCCCTCCCATCCCCCCACCCCAATTCCATATGTAGGGGAATGCCATCCAGTTGGGGTCATGTAGTCTTACAGGTCATGTGAAGTAGGGACTAGGGCTTCTCTCCTGTCTCTAGATTAAGGCAGTTATCCCTCCATGGGGGATATGTTCCCAAAGTCCTTTTGTGCACCATGGATACATCCTGGTTCCACTGTCTGAGTTCCCTTAGACTGCTTAGTCCTTCTGGCTGAGACCCATATTCAGGGGGGCCTGAGTCAGTCCCATGCTGGTTTCCCAGCTATCAGTCTGGTGGTCTGTTAGCTCCTCCTTGTTCAGGTAAGCTATCTCTATGTGTTTCTGCAGCCTGGTCTTGTCCTCTCCATCTGCATCTGAGTTCTACTTTGACTCAGTGTTTATGTATGGGTGTTTGCTCCTGTTTCCAACAGGCATTAGTTGAGAGCTCCATGGAGAAGTTAGTTGTTGATCTCACTCTCCGGGAAGGGCATTTATGATAGCCTTTCCACAGAAGCTCAAATTGTTAGTTGGGAGCAGTCTTGTAGTTCTCTAGACCTTTCTTTGTGTTCAATTTTATCTTCAAACCAATATTGGCTCCCTCTTTTATGTTCTCTCTCTGTCTCTCTCTCTCTCTTTCACATCTAAATGACCCAGAGATGACAAAATAGTCAAAAGGAAGACCAGGAGCCAGGGACAGGGTTTCAGACCTGCTGTCCCAGACCTTTGGAAGGGAAGGCTGAAGTGGGAAGATCTTGAGTTCAAAACCAACTTGATAATCTAGCAAGAACCTGATTAAAAAAATAATTAAAGGGGGGAAATATCAACCAAACTTATCAGAATGATGGCCTGCTGACCCAGCAGAACGTAGGGAGCTCTTCTATTCATAACCCAACATGCCTTTCAGAGAGGGTTTCAAAGAAAGAGCCCATGTCTTGCAGAACTGGAGTGTGGTTCAAATCATACTTATGAAAGTTGTTTCAAATTTGAGCCAGAGCTTATGAGTGGGTATTATTTTTCTTTTGTGAATATGTCTAGAGGTATTCAAGACCAAACTAGGTTTTAGGAAAGGTCAAAACTTATCTAGATAGAGGTGGTTTAAGCCTTCAAGAGCAAAGAAATGAGCACGGCCTGAAATATAAGGATACATTTTTGTTCTTGTTAATTGTTGTACCATTTTTATCCAGTTTTCTTTCTGTACTAGGAATCTCATTATTAGTTGTCCACATGATTGTCATGATTAAATTGCTTTTCTCTCAGCCTGTTTTACAGGGAAATAGAATATGAATTAAGTTGTGGTCAGCAGTGTTATATATTATAACTTTTACCACTTCAGGTACTAAAACTGGGGCTAGCAAGATTTCTCACTAGTTACAAATGCTTACTGCTCTTTCAAAGGACCCAAGTTCAGTTCCCAGCACTTACATTAGATCACACACAACCTCTTGTACCTCTAAAACCAGAGAGATCCAATGGTTCCTGCACTCAAATGCACATATCAATATGCAGACACACAAATGTACACATAGTTAAAAATACAATAAATCTAAAGAAAAGATATTCAAACGTTTGAATCTATTTCTTGCCTCAGAGCTGTACCTAACTGACATGGGCAAGATATTTTAAGACCTCTCAATTGTCTATCCAGTTAGGTGACCTAGAGGGACTTACATGTCTAGTAACTGTCAAACAGCCTATTAACTAGCATGAAAGGAATAAAGATAATGTGGGCATTCACTACTCATCTCATGTCCACTAATTCCCTCCCAGGAGCTTGCTTAGAAAGCAAGCCTTATGTCCCACCAGAGAGCATGAATTCCCAGATTTACACACATGTAAGCCCATTACACGCACGCATTTCAAGCCCCTGTATAGAACGTGTTTGCTAACCTTTTGGCCAAAGAGAATCAATAGGTAACCTAAGAGTAGATTTTCATCAATCATCATGGAAACTGTATCTGTTTGAAAGTGTTAGTTTAAGTAAGAATTTTTCTGTATAGCTTGGCTGCCTTCCAATTTGCTATGTCACTTAGACAGACTCCTAATCTGTGACAGTTATAACTTAGTTTTTCAAGTTCTTGGATTCCAGGTATGAGCTACCAGCATTCATTCTTGATTTATAAGTATATTTTAAAAGAGAAGACAGAATCTTCTTTTAATAGATGGATGGGTAGGGGTTAATCAGAGACAGGAAGTGGGTTTATGCTATCTCACTATTGAAATGGATTTGCAAAATGAAATGTTTAGAATAAACCGAGTTTTCAGCTAATTTTGAAGTAACTGAGTCAAGTAGATGGTTTTATATAATTATAAAGACTTATGCCAATATGGTAGAATTTTAATTTGTATTATCACACAAACAATTTTTAATCAATGAAATGAAAGTAATTATCTTAAGAATTTGTACCAGAGTGGCTCTCATGTCTACCAATATTTTGAAGTACAAAATACTTTGATAAAGCTCAAGGCGATAATTTAGATTTGGGGTAATATTGTATAAAAAAGTGGTAATAGTCATGTTTGAAGATTAAAAACAGACATGATTTGTGGGCAGAGCAAAAGAAGAGATAAAACACATAATAGTGACCATTTAGAATGTAGAACCTAGGTCCTTCACACACTCCTGAAGACCTCAGAGTGACTTAAACTTGAATTGATATTGATAAGATATTTAAATTAAACACTTAAAATATGCAAGAGATACCATTTTGACACAAAAGGCATCGATTTTCTACCTTTGCCTCTATTGTTCTTGGTCTTTGATGTATGGAAATGTGTACAATTATTCGACAGTCAGTGTGTGTCTAGGTTTCTGGGGTACTTGCTGCCTATTTGGAGAGGAGGATTCACACATGTTAAAATGCAGCAAAAAGTTAGGCCTGAGTTACTGAAGGATGTCCTTGAGATGGTGACATTAGGGGACTGGGGGACCTTTGCATTTCATAGCTAGGTGCAATACATGCATACCAATAAATGACAGTTATTTTTGCAAGAAAAGTCATATTTTTCTATTAGCCAATTTCATAGTTTCTTTGGGTAAGCAGGGATGGGTGAAGTACAACCAGAGACAGGTAGCATTCTCTAAGTGCCTGCCTATATTTCTGTGCTCAGTCATGGATATTGGAGTCTGTCACTCACAACTCTATTTAACACTTTATTTTTTACAACTTAGATATTTACAGACCAGTTGTTTTTATCTTGAAATAGTGATTCTAATAAGACCTCTTTTCTCAGATGAGGCAAAAATGACTCTTTCAAAACTTTAAACTGAAAGTCCTTTCCCAGATATTTGAATCCGCATGTATAACCAACAATATTAGCCCTCTATGGCACACACTTCCTGTGAAATGATAAAACAAATAAATGAGAAAACATTGAAGTATTCCTCCAAGAGGAGTGGGAAGAGATGCATATCACAGTGAGTCAAGGTTGTGCTGTTATCTGCAAAAGACTTTAGTAATGGGACTTACTTAATGGGACTGTCTCTGTCTCATCATGGTGAAGGGTCTTTTTTTTTTTTTTTTTTTTTTTTCTTAATTTAAACATCTAAATTCTCAAAACAGATTTGGACCAACTAGATAGTAAATGAAAAGGGTGAAACCAAGAGCTGGAGTTGTGAAGATTAAGTTAGCTGCTAGCTCTTTTCTATTTTCAGGATTTGCATGTCTATATTCTGATTTCTTTATATAGAGCTTAAATGCTTAATTCTCCTTTTCCCTTTTAGTCCTATGTGACTAACTTCCACGAGTCTATTTTCATTCACTTCTAAATTTTCTCCCTGCTGAAGCTACCCATGTTTTCTGTCATGAGGGGCACAACCTGATCGCATTCTTGTCTGTTTAACATTTCAAGATTTTCTTCCCCCTTCCCTCCCTGTCTTGTATCTAATGAGCAAATTATCTAAAAATAGATATGTTCATCATTCTACAAAATGTTCTATCTCCTGCAGATTGGAGGCCAGTGTGATTGTAAGAGACATGTGTTTGGCAGACAGTGCCTTCGGTGCCAGGATGGATTCTATGACCTGCAGGCGTTCGATCCTGATGGCTGCCGCCCCTGTAACTGCAATCCTTCTGGGACTGTGGATGGAGACATTACCTGTCACCAAAATTCAGGCCAGTGTGTGTGCAAAGCAAATGTTATTGGTACGTGTGATGCACAAGTTTACAGCCACATCTCTATTCCCATCTGGAAAAAAAAAGTCTCTATTGGTTTCTTAACTGAAGGGTAAAGCAGGTTTTCTTGCTCAAGGGTGGGGGGAAAAAAGAGTTTGGATGGAATTAACTGTCTAAAAATGACTAAATTAATAATTGTATCAAACTGTTGTTTGAAGCTTAGTTTAATCAACCCTTTAGAAGTTTCTTTATTCAGTAGATATATTAGTTACATGGACTCAACTAATAAGTCATAGAAAATATAATTTGCCTGCTGCATAGATGTTTCTTTTAGAAAATTAGCACTTTTTCAAAATGTTTTACACTTAATGAGTTCTAAGCAAATCATTTCCCTGCTAGTTTTAATAGACTAAAATAAATGGATTTTTTTCAAAACATTCTGTGCTAAAGGGTACTTTGTGATAAATCTTTCCATTTTTCTATTATATTTCTTTGAACTGTCCCTATGAAATGCAAAGCAAGTCAATATAATTCCACACATCATGTTTATGGCTAGAGTTACTTATAAAGGGTCACATAATTTTAATTTTGTAATTCTGTACCAAGCTGATTATAATAAACAGCGAGCTTTGGTGTTATTTATCATTTTTTTATACAAGACATGCTTTTTTGTTTGTTACTCCCACAGGTATTTTTCAGAAATTAGATTTGATTATAGCAATTTATTACATCCAGTATTTTTGAGGGGAACCACTGCCACATAAGGACAAAATTTATCAAGTGCCCAAAACGCACCATGTACATAATGCACTTTGAAATTTTGATGTATGAGAATATTATGAGAGGGAAGTTTTCTGATGAACTGCACACTGTATTCTAACTGAGCACACCCTGATTCCTGCATGAAGTTTAAAGGGACCTTGGTATTTCTATTGTCGCCTAAGACACCATGTGCTGTGTGGTTTTACTGACACTGACCTGAACTTCAAAATAATAAATGTGCTTGGCAGTGATATCTGTACTACACATACATGCACACACATACACACACACACACACACACACTCGTGCATGTATATGCATGTACTTACATGTAATTCTGAAATATGTATACATTTATGTAATACAACCCAATCTGTTTTGTTTGTTAATATATGTGTGTGTATGTATATATGTATATGTACATATATGTGTGTGAATATATATGTGTGTACATATACATGCATATACGTACATACAAAACTTCATAGCTTTGGCATCAGACATTTTAATCTAATTAAAAGATGATGGACAGTTTTGATGACATCACATAAGCTCCCTCTGTTTAAGGAAAGGTTCTATAAAAGGGTGTAGCATTAATCCCACCTTTATTTATGGTAACCCTACAAACAACTTTTAGAAAGTCTAGCTGACCTATGGAGGAGTGGCATGTAGAATTCATTGTGTGCCTTTCTTTGTTCTTGGGTATGAGACATGTTTTGAATTCAAGATATAGAAACGCAAGTTAAACCCAGGCCTTTGTACACAGTGGAATGGAGCTTCTCTATCTCACTAACACCTTTCCTCTGGTAGATAGATCCTACAGCTTGAAAATAGAAGAACTATTAATTACCTAACATTCATCTTTACCCCTGCCATTTACTATTGTCATTTGCTCATTTTATTGGTTGCTGCAAATAGTGTTCTGGAGGAAAATATAAATATGTATTTTGTGAAGATTAAATCCTTGCTTTAACAATATTATAAATAATGATTTCTAGAGTAATCTCTGCAAGTGAAATACTTTTAATAAAAACATGAACTTGACATGAATATATATTTTCCTAATAGGGTTAGCAACCATCCTTGTTGAAGATTACCTCGTTAATAGGAATAAACAAAAAACCTGAAAACACAAGAGTGTGTTGTATGTATTTCAGAATGCAAACTGTTTGAGTTAACAAAACTGTTAAATCTTACTAATGATTCTATCACCAGTAAAATACATTACCACCAATAATTTTATTAAAGTAGGTCATTCATCTAAAATAAAAAGGGAGAAGAATGTGAATTAAATGCCAAGTGTGCTAACTCGCCCGCACTTGTTAGCTCCGAGTGTGATGCCCTGTAGGCCTCTGTGAGTATCGTTAGGAATAGATTACCTGTCAGGAATATGTATGGCATATTCAAATAAGCACTGTGCATATTTTTAAAACTGATCTGATATGAATCCATGTAGACCGATTTTAATAGTTCAAAATGAGTCATAATTCTTGTTAACAATACAGTTATTTTTAAAATTTGCAGCAATCGTGGTCCTTTTTTATTTTCCTTATTGAAATTAAATGATATGCCTTAGGTGATCTATTCATCATTGTTAGAGAACTTGCTTCTATTGGAGTTTGAATGAATTTTTGTCCATATACATGCATATTATGCATTTTCCTCCAGCTCACAGCTGCCTTTTCCATATCAGTGCCTGAGTATGGATTTGACTCTTGTTTTAGGACTAATTTTTTATTACTATTATACAATTATGGTTTAAAATAGAAGTCTCAATTGATTCAATGCCATGTGGTCAGGTATTTACATTCATGGGTATATGAAATCTGTCTAAAGGGAAGGGATTTGCATCTAAACATCACTGTTGATTTTCTTAAATTCCGTTTCTTGGCAATGTCCTTGTTGAGATTAACCTAAGTTGTCAGAGGTTTAAGTTTAGGTAACAAAACATTTTTCTCCATTTGTAAAGTGCACGTGTGTGCCCCTCAAAAAGAAACATAAGGCTCCCAATTGACGTCATGTCTGAACAGGTGTGTTTCAAATCACATGATTTGACATACAGTGTACTTGCCTCATGAGCCACGGCAAGCATAATTTATAATAATTGAAAATGATAACATATAGAGTATGAAGGATTAAAATAAAAGTGCACTGGATAACTTGTATTTATGTCAGTTATTTAGTTTTGTAACAGCTGAAAGTAAGTGTGCATGTAACTGTCTCAAAGACAATAAAAACAATGTTATATTTTCTTCTCTCCTGACTTTTAAAGGTTTAGTAACAAATAGAAATTAAGAATATTTATGTGGCACAACATGGAGTTTTGGTACATGGACAATTTGTGAAAGGATTGCTTGAGGCTCATTGGTGTATCTACTGCCTATATGCTTAACATATTCATAATGAAAAATATGAAGATTGACTTCCTTGCCAGCTTTTAAGTATACACTGTAATACAGTTTACCATTGTAACTCCAGCCACAATGATAGGGAACTGAGTTCTAGAACCTGTTTATTCTGTCTAGCTGGTGTTTAATACTTTGCTTACCCTCCTAGAAAAATCGTTCTAGTTCTCTCCAGGCGATTTTGAGTCTCAGAAAAGTAACTCAGGTGCCCTGTGCACTTTTATACTGCAAAGCCTATCTTACTAAAATAGTTTTTATATACATGTGCATGCAACAGAAGTACTGTGCTGCATATAATGTTGCATTGATTAGCAATGATATTCCTCAAAATACACTGCTTACAAGTCACATGTGAGCACCAACTTAGTACTGCCATAGTGGTTTGTGTAAATGCCACTTCCTCACTTTGGATTTGTGTTAAATGTTGACCGTCAGTCATCTTCACTGGTGCAGTCCCACACCCCTCATCCTTACCAATGCATTTTGTTTGCAGGGCTTTGATATCGATGCATTTTGTTTGCAGGGCTTCGATACAATTGCTACAATTTTGGATTTAAATTTCTCTGGAGTTTTAATGATGATGGATGTGAGCTCTGCCAGTGTAACCTCCACAGCTCAGTGAACCAACTGTGCAATCCACTTTCTGGGCAGGGTGAGTGTGAGAAGGAAGCCAAAGGACTTAAGCGTGACACTTGCAGAGAAGACTTTTATGGGTTGGCCAACAGTGCTTATAAGGCCCGTGACTGTAACATGGATGGCTCCCAACCTGGGACCATGTGTGATGCTGAGACAGGGCAGTGTGTCTGTAAGTCCAATGTTGGAGGGAGACAGTACAATCAGTGTTTGGAGGGGTACTTCAACCTAAAGCAGAAAGATTTCTTCCTCTGCCTTGCAACTTTGAGAAGAGTGGGGTAGTAGATGGGTCTCTTTTGTGTGACAAATCAACTGGGCAGTGTCTTTGCAAATCAAGAGTAACAGGTCTGTGCTGTAATCAGTGTGCACCTCACAGGTTCAATTTGATGATGGGCAATCTTCAAGGATGCAGATGTATGAGTTAGACTCCTTCGGGACACTACCTGGAAGCATCTGTGGCCCTGTCAATGGCCAGTGCCTATATCTGTCTCATCGGCAAGGAAGAAGTTATCAGCAGTGTCAGCCAGGTAGGAAGCCGGCTCCTTTTCAGGGTAGTGACCATAGGTGACCCCTTTGTTTATGGATGCAGCTTCTAATGTATGACCTCCAGCATAATTGTTACATTTGTGTCATCCAAACAGAGATGTTTGACATGCTTGCAACTGTCTTGTCTGTGCATATGCTGTTTGTGGAGGAAGGGGACCTACTTCCGGATGGAGGCATGTTATAATTTCTTACCTTGACAGAGGTGCATTTTTAAACAATTAAAAGATAAATGATTGAGAAAGGGGATAATTTTTTTCTAAAAAAAAAAAAAGGGAATTTTATCTAATTATCCATACAATATCAAATAACTAGATGATGGAACAAATTTCTAGATGAAGTTGGCTGGCAACATATTATGCAGGAAAGGGATGCATACTCTGACATCATAAGGACACATCTAGTATTATTTTTAAATGTCATAAGAAAATAGGTAATTCTGATTTCACTGTACAGAAACCTATCTTTACAATTATTTCCTGACCTATCTTTACAATTATTTCCTAACGAAAGTCAAGACATTTGCTTTTTAAATTTTTAATTGAAGTAATACTTTATAGTACATTGATCACTTTAAGTATAAGTAGTTAAGAGTACAGTTGGAGCTATATTGATTTAGGAAAATGACCGGTGTTGGTTCTTCTCCAGGGTCTTTGATACTCGTCCTGGTGATAGGCTCAGGTCATCAGGCGTGGCAGTGCCTTACTTTGAGTCTTGACTCTTTTGAATTTAGAAACCACCTTTGATCAGCCCATGAGTACTTGGTTCCTCATAAGGTTCCTAGGCATTTCTTTTCCTTGGCCCTGTCTGTACTGAGGACTGACTGTTGTGGACCCTTTAGATAATGTTTGAAATAGCCGTGTACACGTTATACTTATTTTCTTAAAGCAAAACAACTATTTACCTTTGTATCATCTTCTAGAAATTACTTAGACATTTTTATGGAACAGACTCTGTGATTCAAGACATTGGTCCATTTTTTTTTCATTCTAGAGATTGACTACACACTTAGTTTTCCTCTGGAGATTGTAGTTTGCAGGGGTCCCTTCTGATGCGGGTGGAACCTCAAGGCCTTCCCCACAGCTCTATTTCATAGCTTACCTTTGCAGCTGCCCTGTGTTGACTTCTGGTTTTCATAAATCTCTGTCTTTGTGTATATTGACTTATTTGTATAAATGGTAGGACACTTGCTCCAGAAGCTTCTGAAAGAATACAGGGAGGAGTAATTGTATTATGTATTTCTAGAGTGGTCTTTAATGCTTGAAAATATCCAACTAAAGAGAGATATAGGAAATTTTACTAGTACTTCAAATGATTTTCATAACAATAACATACCATTGGCTTAGCTGTACTGTCACATTTACTTCCCTATCTTTCTGCAAGTTTCTATCATTTATCTTTATCTGGATTTGGAAATTTTCAGGCTGGTGTGCTTTTTGTTTAATAATTCTGGGTGGTCCCTGAACCATTCTTATCTGTGGATGAGTATTTCTTTGTTCTACGGAAACCTACCCAATAGACTCACTGCAATATCTACACTGATATTTGACCAGAAAACTGCACTCCAAGGCTGGCCAAGTTGAGACATACATTTATCTGTCACAAGCAACTTTTCTGTGGTTTTCCTGATTGATGCTCTGAGGAGTGTTTCCTCTTCTCAGGTTTAACTTCTGTAGTTAAGCCTTTTCATCTTCTTCTAAAATGTGAGAGTAACAGCCTCCTCTTTGGGGAAGGGATAAACCACACCCCCTTTTTCTAACTGGAAAGATTCCTGTGGCTTTGAAGCCAATACTTTCCGGGTTTGTGCTTGCTTGATCGATACGCTTACTGTAGACTTTCTACTGACAATTCTGATTTTTTTTCTTTCAGATGTCTGTTATTGACTGCTCTTCCCTTTTAGAAAAAATAATTTCATTTGGGGGGATTTGGGGGAAGGAAAGATTGCTCAGTCTACCATGTTTAACTGGCAGTTCTGCCCTGCATTTTCTGGGTTGTAATCTTGTCATGTCATATCATTATAACCAGGCTTGACTCCTCTTTCTCCCAGAGCTCCAGACTCATCCATCACAATCAGTCCTGAGGGCTTTGCCTTGCAGTGTGTCTAGATTTGACCACTTCTTAACACTCGCATTTACTCCTTTGTAGTCTTAGCTACTTTTTCCTGTGCTATCCAAGCGTAATCCCGAAGCCCCCATTCTCTGCTTTATCCTTCTTCAAGGACTTCTGGCTCTCCCATCCCAGAAACGGTGCTTCCCAAAAGTCAACCAGATCTTGTCAGCCCACCCTCCCCCTGGCTTTCCAGCAGAGTGAAGCAGGAAGTTGGTGGCTGTGTGACCTGCACTATTCAGGGGCTCTCTGACTGTATTAGTGTCTCCCCAAACAAGTGACCCCACTTTCACTCACCACTTTCACCCTTATGGCACAGAACCTTGGTAAACAGTGATCCATATTTATTGAATGAGTAATTATGTGTAAAAATATCTCAGTTGCCTTTGCTTATTTTTAGGCATGGGAACAGCAAAGGCCTGTGGAAATGTCCTTATACTTCAAGATGATCATTTTCCTACATTCAAGGAGGAATGATAGCTCAAATAATGAGCATTTTCTGAAACAAAACAAGATGTAGTGTTCTCACATGCATACTCTGAAAATGGAACAAAGTGTAATTGGGGCAATTGTAAGTTTTGCTCTCTTCTGATTTCAGAATTCCTACTTTGATCTTTGCTTTTTGGTTTTTGTTTCTTAAAATGAAATTTGCTTGGAGAACATAACTTCTGTGAAGTAGACATGTTTACCAGCAGCTGTCTCGGCTCTCCTACTTCCTCCTGGACAGCAGTGATTCGAAGACCCCATACCACAGGGCTCAAGTCCACATGGGTGTATATTTGCAATAGGGCACAGAGATCAGCCAGGAGAACACACACTGGAAAGCCTGAAGACCTTGCCTGTTTCTCTTCCATGACTGTAAACATAAATCGGCCTATGCTAGAGGGCCCCACGTAGATTCCTGGCCCACTTTCTTAAAAAGCATCATCGAGGAAGGTTTGTGTAATGAAATCTCATGTATTAGTAACCTAACCATAGTACGAACGTACAAGGAATAGGCTTAATTCAGCTAAAATTTATAGGCAATTTGTTAACACAGCAATGTGCACTGGAAGGCACGTTGCAGCCACATTGCTTTTAATATGCCATTCAATAACTTGAGCAGAGGTTAAAAATGCTGCTTAACCTCCATTAAGTATTTTCAAAATGCTTTAATTTAAAATTATTTGTAGTGTGTATATAAAGATGAACGTACACATACCCACACTAATAAATACAGCACTAAATATGTTTCCCTGGCTTTTTTTCTTCATCTCTGGATGACCTCGTACCATTCAGCAGCTGTGCTTAATCAGAGGCCAGGCCGAGAAAGGCAGAGGAGGATGTCAAGCCATCCTGGGCTAGTGACCCTCCCTCGTCCTTGAGAACCAGAGGCAGAGAGGGTTTATTGAGGGCGCTGCAGCTCTGAAATACAATAAAGACTAATTTATAAAGGAAACGGCCTCTTGTGACACGTTGGGTCCTAATAGAACAATGCTTCATGCTTTCTTCAGTACTTACTTTTGCCTCTTATTTTATAAGTCACATAGACTATTAGAGAGTAAAACAAAGTATCCTGTTGCATTAGGAAGCATATCCTCCTGGTTAAAGGATGGGCTCACAAACCATAAGCTTACAAAGACCCTGATGATGGGACTGGAACCAGGTGGCTGATGTTCTAGTGAACATTAGAGCATCAGTAGGTGTTGAGATCTGACTATGCCCAGATCTTAGTGAAAAACAAACAAACAAACAAACAACAACAACAACAAAATCTCTTGAAGTTAATGACTTTTTTTCCCAGCAAGAAATTTGTCTCAGGACAGGCATTTTTTTTTCATGACAAATTGCCAGAAAATCACCTTACCTTGGAGAATTTGGACTACACTCCTTGGAATATGTGGGGAGAGGGAAGAGGGGTATCATTATTTCACCTTCAATTTAGAAAGAAAAATCTCATTTCTGTGGAAATGACATGATAACAGTTTCAATAATGAAAAGTGCAGAATAATTGCTGAGTATTTACTGAGTGTCCAGCTCTGCCTTGGCACTTTGCTGTGAAATCCTGTGTAATATGCATACCATTTCTATGATGGAGGGTTCCTTCTCTCCTCTCCTGGTTAGGGAAAGTGAGGAATCTAACAATAGAAGAGGCATTTATAAGCCCCCAATAATCTGACCCCAGAATGTGTACCCTCAAACTATGGGACGTTTCTTTAAAAAATAGTTTTAAATATTCATTAAATAATCACTCAAGGGTGCTTTAAAATACAGTTGCAAATATCTGTAACCTCTCATCTTCAACTTTCTCTCAACACATGATTCTGGCTCAGTCCTTCAGGCCCTAGGAGATATCATTTGTTATGGAAAATCCAAGTAATAGGCATGAAAAAGAAAATAACACTGTCCCGGGCTGCTTGGCTGAGCACATGCTGAAGAGCTGAACAGCGGGCTCTAGAAATAGGATTATCTGCATAAGCTAAGTGGGGAGAATTTACAGTTGTCTCTGTGGCACAGGGAAGATACTTGGAAGTATGCATTTGATAAATAAGGAGATGCAATAGAATAAAACTATATAAAATTTGACAATATGTATGTATATGTGTGTGAAATCATAATCTCTCAGAATTTTAACAGAGATTTCAGTATTTGTAATGTTTTATTAATTTTGTTTGATGCTTCAAAAATATGATATGGCTAGGCATGATGGCATACACCATTAATCCCAGCACTGGGAAGGCATAGACAGGGAGTTTTCTGGGAATTCCAGACTAGCCTGGTCTATATAGTGAGTACCAAGCCAGCTAAGGCTACATAGTGAGATGCTTTCTTGGGGGGGGGAGGTGGTAAAGAGACTTCCTAGACATGCACCAGTAGGGAAGTTGAGCTTGTGTAAAAC